GCGCCTCGCCTTTCTCTGTCGCTGTTCTCGATAGATTGCTATGAACAGCTTTGTTTCGGCGGCGTGCAGCGGCCGTCGTCATTGCTTTTTCTTGGGAGTGCCGTTGATGTCACGTGAGGTTGAGGGTGAAGGTGAAGGATAAGTTTGGTGCTTGGCGGAGTATCGCACCGCTATTATGTTTTGCGCTTTTATGATTGTCAAATCATAACGAGAAAATAAACATTTTTGGGTGATTTTTTTCTTAATTTTTTTTTTGCATTTTTCATATCTTTTTCAGGGCTTAGGATCTGATTCGAGCAGACGTAACTTATTGAATAATTGCTGATAAGCTGATTAAAAATAATTTAATTAGTTGGGTGCGGTAAAAAAGTTGGCATCTTATTGTGAAAACGTTGTTTTCAGCGTTTTAAAAACGTATAATCTGCTAAAATACAATTTACCCAAATAGATTAGGTGCATTTTCAAAACACAACCACATCAAATAAGCATCCCCCAAACGGACCCTTAATTTGATACGTGTAAACAAACAAGATTGTAATATTATCATAATATCATCAATTTGCACGTAATAATATTTTCTCATCTTCTGAACATGAAAATATTGCTTAATTATGAATTTATTAAAAACACCTCTTCTATCTTTTACATCATTGATAAAATTAAAGACTAAATTAAATTTTTTATTTTTTATTTTTAATTTTCTTTGTTTTGGATTTACATAAATGCAAAACAAGTCTTAGATAATTATATATTTAACATCTAATTTTTCATATCCACTCCTATAATATTTTAGTGTCATAATTACATCTGATATTAAGTTCATGATTCTTCCAACTCTGATTTCAGTAAATAAATACTTAGGTTGAATGTCTGACTTAGACTAATCTAAAAAAATACTAAAATAAGTTTAAAATATTAACAAGATAATCTGCTTATCCTGAAATGCACAAGCTGCAGCTTATCTCAATTATTGGATTAGTAAAAATAGGCATTGCGTGCAAGGGACAAGGAAGGCTCAAGTGGGCAGCCCATGCATTATTTGCCCCGTTTCTTCCTCCTGAGTGAATCCTGTAATAAATTCTGTCAGATTTACGTTTTGTCGGGCATGCTGTGTTCCCCACATTATTGAGGATATCAATAGGCTTTGGCCCACTCTGTTTAGCCCATTTTACTTGCGGACATAAACCTTGGTGTACTTATTTTCATGGGCCGTTATTTTAACGCTGTGCTGATATCGTCTTTAATTGTTTTACCATGATGAATTTGTTAGTTATTATTCCTCCCGCCTCACACGGTCCTCGCCAGTAGCCACCAACCCACGAACCCCACACCGCCGCTCTCAGTCGCCGTAGCCGGCCACCTGCCACAGCCGCCACCATTCGATGCCTGCCTTTGCCGCCCACTCATTACCTTTTGTCACCGCTGCACTCCGTCCACTGCCTGTTGACCGTCGCTCGTCACCGCCACCCACCTATTGCCTCCCACCCACCACCCGTACAAGTAATGATTCATCCTGGTTGAAGGAAGTGGCGTATGCAATGATCGGCGGAGCTTAATAATAGAGTGTCACGTGGACTTAATCATTTTATAAAAAAATAACTCTTTTAAAAAGAATAAATAATACTCGATAAAACTTATTTTATATTTTATACTTTTAAGAACATATAAATCATAACAATACAAAACACGTCTTCTAAAAACAGAAGATAAAAAATAAAACAGATTAAAAAAAATTAAAAACCAAAAACAGAAAGTGATCCCGAGCAGACCCTTAGTTATTTTTTTACAAAGTATCTAAGGTTTGAGTGGCATGTACGTAAATGTGATAGTTTAGGTGTTATATGTGTAAATATGATAATTGTGTGGTGTGTAAGCAGATACCCCTTATAAGTATTGTATATATAACTAAAACTACATAAATTATTGCAAAATTTCACCAGTTAGATTTCAGGAGCCCTTTGAGAACGTTGCGCATCTCTTCCAAGTTATGAGCCGAAGGTAGCTGGAATCCCCATTCGTGTAGGTGCTTTGCTATCTCCTTGAGAACTTAACAATTGGCTGCTATGTAGTTAACATGAAAGCCAAGGCAGTGATGGAGCCTCCTTAGAGGGGCTGGGAAGATTTGCGCACAATCTGGTTGAAAGTTTTCAGGTTGCTGCACATGTTGCAGGCGCATGATGAGCAGTTGTTAGAAGAAGTAATTGATTAAAAAGCTACGGTGGTTATTGCAGTATATTTTTTTTTCATTTTGGAAAAGTTAGACCGTAGATTTCTAGTAGTCACCACACTTAGGGCTCGTTTGAGAGAGTTTTGCATTTGGGAAAATTTAGTTTAAAAGCATCATCGTAAAAACTGTGGTGCAGCACCGCATCTCCACCGCCACCGCAATCGCACCGCCGCCCCAAATGCACCCTTAATAGAAAGTCACGGACATAGAATCCCTTGAAAGCCTCCGCATTCGCGAAGGTAGGCCACCTAGACAACGGTAAATCGAGGATCCACACATGGTTGAGAATAGTGATCTTTTTGCCCTCCACCAATTTCCATCTCCAGTAAGTGCAGACCTCTCGCTCCATCCAGACAACATGATAATCAATCCAGACAAATCAAAATAACAAGTGTTATGATCCTCTCACCCTCTCTACTTAGACAAAGATCACCAGTAAAAAAACATAAATAAGCTTGCAGCAAGAAAAGACGGCAAAAAATTACAGCATCAATGAATCAATTGGCTTATTGCTTCATAATCATATTTGATATTTACTTTTCCATGAAATTGCAAGTTACACCTCACCAAAATCAAATAAGAAAATATTAGGCTGCAAACAGTAACAATTAATAAGTTCTCCAGAACTTCTTAGAAATCAAAATAAAATTGTGGAGGACCAACCAAGTAGCTACTGAATGAAAAATATTTGGCTAGAAAGCATTGAACCGGTAACAAGACCACATTATATCCGCTAATTCATATCCAAGAACAAAAGAGAAGTCATTTAAAAGCGTGCCATCGTAACCACATCGCCTCTTAAGCTCAAGAAATTGGAGAAAGATACCATTGGCTGGAAAGCATTCAAATGGTAACAAGGCACAAGCAACTGTTGGGGCCACTTCAAAATCTATTCCCCTTCAAAAGTTAGAGATCATTTTCTGTCCAATCATCACATTTCTTGCACTAAATATGGTAGCAAAAAAGAGGACATGGGGTAAAATACTAAACAAGAACAAATAGAAATATCAAACTATTACGAATATGATTGCATGCAAAACTAGTATCTGTGACGTTTTCTTGGAGATATTGCATCTGTCCCTAGGATGTAATGCCGATGCTCACGAACTGACTTATCTATCAAATGGTGTTGACGATCATAATTCTCGGAATGCTATGCCTTTGAATCTGAAATTATACAAGTTTGTGTCATGAATTGTGATTGCTTAAGAGGAATTGGGGGAGACATCCAAAAATGCCCAGTATATGGTGATCTAATTGGGATAGTGGCTCCACTTATCCAATATAGGGGTGTGGTTTGGTAATTTATTGGTGTAAATGGAGCATGTCATTGCAACAGAAGCCAAGGCGTACTATTAGATTCATGTGTGCCATGCAATCACATGAAGTGCACACAGTTGATAAATTTGGATCAGCACGAACAGATGGTGCAACACTAACATCTGCTAGCAGATAATATGTGTCTAATGTGTGGATTCTCCGCAATATTGTCTGCGCCACAATGATCACCTGTACATACATACCTCTATGAAACTCTCTACATAACCCGTCATATGCAATCAGTAAAATGAGTTGTCATCATATCTCCCAATTATGGGTTGAAAAAACTTCATATTGATACCCGGTCAGCAGTGAACCCATCCAAAAATCGAGAGCCAAAAACTCCAAATAGTCTTTAAGGATCAGGTTGGATCAACCTGAATTCTATAAATAGATCCTGACATTACATATGAGATTGCTTCCATAAATTGATTTAATGAACAATATGACTCTTCTCAGCTTTTAAAAATTACTTTAATAGCCTTCGTTCAATCATCTCATGCTTTAATGTATAATTCTTTTAAGTTAAATTTAAATTCAATAAGACTAATGTTCTCTTTCGACTTCATATTCCTTTGTTGTCAGACAAAAGAAAGAGTGAATAGTGAAATGAATTTGGACGTACATTGTCTGTGCCTGTTCACCATATTAGGCTAGTGCAACTATGTTGGCCAATTATAGTATAAATCTTCCAAACATCCCCTAAACGTTTCTTGCTAAAATCATGCAAACGCCACTGACATAGTTTAGAGGGGTGAGCATATTGTAAATATATTACCTTTAGTCGACTCTTGTTTGAGTCAACAACCTTAAACTCGACATTATTATAAATTGATCACCCACCAATTGCACGTCGAAGTTCATTTTTATTGCAAAAGAGCATATCTTCTAGCAGATCAGATGGAATAAAGCCTTCTTGGACAGATGTCATGTGTTCACTAGGACCGTCAAAGTTAATATTCTCATCCCACTATTGTGTTGTTTGGCAGTATAGTATGTAATCGTTGCTACTAATTATTTCATTTGCTATATTGAGATTACGAAATACATGCTATGTATAAGTTCATGCACATATATTTGTGCATTAACTTACTCACCATCGGTATCATTGTTATCATCACTTGAGTCGCTACCCATTATCTCTTATCTCTCAATAATTGAAGGCAATTGTACATTTTTGTAGAGAGCTATTAACCCTTCAGGAATCATAAGTAAAAATATTTCAAGTGAAATAACTTTATGTTAATAAAATATTTGAAATTACTTTAATAAATTTATTAAAATATATACACACTAATACTTACAGATTCTTATCGATGTTGTCTGAAATTTGATTGATAAAATTTGTGAGATTATGTGTTCAACATTATAGTCATCTATCTGAAACAAAATAATCACTACATAAGGTATTATAACTTTACTTGGCTTCTATCAAAATAACTACGGTCACTTCATCATCATCGACATTAATTACAACAAATGCTTCGTGGAGTGGGAAACGACATGCCATATTCAGAGTATACTATAACAAATCATATCTCAACATTTGAAGTAATTTATTTTTCAACAAATAAGTCAATTTTTAGCTCCAACATACATTGACGCAAGATCATCAAATACCAATTAATTCTCAATCATAGCATAATATCAACAGAACATAAGTTTCACTCATTTTTCCGGTGTACTTCTGCGAAAATTAAAGAAAATGATAATCAAATTCAGTGATAATTTGATGCACTCCAAGTACGCATAAAAAAATAGAAGCATACAGCTATTAGATATGTAAATACATACGAATTATGGGATGTACATATTAAAAAGTTCAATCTCACCAGTGATAATTTCAACTAAGATATTCTAACATTTTAAAAAGTACACTCTCACCACTGAAATTCCAAATCAAAGCAACCATAAAAAAGAAACATTTGTAGACAAAAACATCACTGTCATCATAAAAAGATGATTTACCAGCTACTTGCACACAAAAACAGAAGTAGAAGAGAAAAAAAACAATAAGCTTAATTTAGTAATTTTTTAAACAAAACCATAATTTGAAACCCAATTAAACTATGTTGTTTAAATGTAAAGAATTTACCGGCTAAGAGTCATATCGACGTGATAACAACCTTAGGGCAAATCCAATAGCCATCAACATGAGAACAACAGATGAGCAACTAATATATATATATCAGGGCAATCAAAATTATATTGATATTAAAACCACTTCTTGTATTTGTTTCATCATTGCCTTCCTCGTCGACCTACCCCAATTCACTACTAAGTAGGGGTGTAAACGAGCCGAACACGAGCGAGCCAAGGCTTTGCCACGGGCGAGCCAAGGCTTTGCTCTTGTTCGGCTCGTTTATATTTCGAGCTCAAAAAGTGTGTTCTTGTTCAGCTTGTTTGCTTAGCAAGCCGAACACGAGCCGTTCACGAACAAAGAGTCGTTTTGACAACCCTAGCCACGTAGCCATAAGATGTTAAGAATTGGAGCAATATTTAAAACATCATTTGAATCTAATTGAATAATTTCTATTCTATTTTCTTAATACTTTTAATTGATTATAAATCTTTGTAGCCATGTAGTCAATTAATTTTTTTAAAAATACTACTAATCAATTTTATATATATCTATATACATATAATTGATTATTAATATTTCAAACCAAAATAAGCCGAACAGGAACAAATTGTTCGTGTCCGGCTCGTTAACTTAGCGAACGAGCCGAACACGAGTTGTTCGCGAACAACAAGCCGTTTTGACAGCCCTACTACTAAGCATATTGATTATAAGATTCAAAAAATACCCACATTTGTTAGTGATAAAAAAAATATATTAGTTTTCTTCTGACATTTATTTCGGGCCTTGATAATTCTGTCCCCGGGTGATGACACATTATTGCTAAATAGAGTCGAGCAACTTCTCGAACAACCGATATATGCTACTATCTTCTTTAATATCTATTTTAGGCTAAAACCCAACCTTGTTAAATCGCTCAAAAAATAAGATTTAATCACATAAGTACTAATACACCTAAAAGCAAATTTAAAAGATCGGAGCACAACAACCCATTAAAAAGATTATCAACATGTCGGCAACGGTTTCAGATTATTGAGATGCATACATGCTGATAAAAAAATCTAAAATATGATTTAGCAAGAAAAGGACATGCATGCATAGATATATAGGTAGCTTATGATATATTGATGATTTAGCAAGAAAAGGACATGCATGCATAGATATATAGTAGCTTATGATATATTGCCATCAAATCAAGAACATTATTAACAGTTTATTGCGTTTTGTGAAAAATAATAACTTATAAAAAAAATTCATTATAGGAAACAGGAGCACCTTACCGTCGCTGGCCTTATGAAAAGAACTAAAAAAAAGGAAAGAATCCATTTTTATAAATGGACAGCTAGAGTCTAGTGCTAGCCAGATTTTGCTAATTTTTCTCAGTATACATCAAACTGAAATAACAATCTAACACATGCTGTTTAATCAATAACAACAAGCACTTGTACATAAATAAGAAACATCAGATATGCCCTCCTGTTAGTGTACCCGCAATCCCACTCGCATCTTAATTGGCGTTTTGTACCCAAAAAGAAGATAGCAATATATTATTCTTAAAAAACCTAGCACCATCAGGATTTAATTAATCTTGCTCAAATCCTGCTAAATCCAGGATTTATTTAAAATCCCTCTTAAATCCAACAATAACGCAGCCAATGGACTTGGAAATGAAATGTCGGGGTGTGAGAATGTCCATGGTCAAAGGAAGAGAAATCCAGGCTTGGAGAGGAGGGAAGAGGAGAAACACATTTAACATATAGTTGTAGATGGCAACCTTTGTCGCTTGGTGAGGGCGCCACTATGCCTTCATCGGTTCGCCGCCGGTGGATGGAGAGGCTGAAGAAAGGCATTTCGATAGATGCGAAAGGGGTTGTCGATCATGTGGGAAGGGAAATGAAATAACGTAGGAAGGGATGCACGATTTAGTCCTAAATCTAGTCAGCTTAAGTTGTCAATTACTTGGCGACTCATACTTCCAGGCAAATGAGATGCCGCCGATGTGGCGACTTTGCCGATTTAAAATTTTTTTTATTCGATCTCAAAAAGAAATTTAGAATGCTATTTTAAAAATTTAGCTCAATATAATTAGATTGGGACGGCGAGTAGATTGAAGCAATGAAGAGTTCAATACCTCTCCTCATCTTTCACTCCATCTCTCCGGCTAGCTCTTCTCATCCCCTCTCCAGAACCAAACCTTATTCTCTTTCTTTCTCCTCTTCTCTCGATAACCATAGCACCCAAATCCACACTCAGCTCAATATCTATGTTGTTGATCTCCGCAGATCCTTCAGCTATGGCCTTCTTGATCAATATTGGTCCCTCTCCACCCCAGACTCCCGTATTAACACCGATCCTAAAGCAGAACTTCGCTTTGCCACTGCGGCCTCGGGCCTCCCTGGCCCACTGTCATATCCGGAGAACCCGCTAATCAAGCAGTACAACGCAGAGTACTGGCTGCAAGGTGATCTCAAGTGAGTTTCATCGGTGGTTGAGCGAGTGTACGAATGGAGAAGTGCTAACGTAATATTCGTGCCTTTCTTCTTTAATTTTCATGCTTATTTGCCATGGTTTGACATGACCTCCTACAATCATGTGAAATTGGGAATATAGACATACATAATGAAAGGAATATCAGAGGTTTAATTGATTCTTACCACAAAGTCAACACCCAAGAGGTCAACACATGCTTAACATGTTTGTGTGCATTTTATATATTACAAAATCACATTACGAGGGGAGGGTGTGGGCTAACATCACATCCAACATGACAAAATGGAGAAAAATTATTCATGTAGCCGATCTCACTTAATGGGACAAAAGCTTGTTATTGTTGTTTTTGTTGTACCCTAAATATTTATTGAACTTATAATGTAACATATTCTCCAAGAAAATGGTAAAATATAAATACACTCAATTATTCTTATTAAATCAAAATCAACTTGGAACATATTGAGTCAAGTGTTAAGTGAGAGTGTTGAATGTAGCTAAGTGGTAAGCACAAAGGGAACTATTCTTTCACCTTTTACTAAAGAATATTTGTGTGGGCCATAGGTGCAGTATATTTAGTTTTTTGAAAGAATATTTTATTAACTCAATTAATTATACTTATGAGTAAAGTGCCAAAAATAGTTCCGACTATTTATAAGGGACAGTTTTAATCGCAGAGTTTATAGAAGTGACAAAATAGTCTTCGATTAGTTTCAAATTGAACTATAATAGTCCTCTATAAAGACTATTTTAGCCCCAATTTAAAAAGTATGGAGACTATTTCGGCACTTCAATGAACTCTGAGAATAAAACGGCCCCATGTAAATAGTTGGGCACCATTTTGGTACTTTACTCACTTCTCCTTTATAGGTCAATAGTATGCTCCATAAAGCAAATGATTGCTTTGAATTTTGGAAACTGGAAGGTCTTTTGTTTAGTGATTTAGAAACTATATTGTTTGAAGGAATGGGAGAGACAATAATTCATGATAGTTGTTATATATATATATTATAACACCTAAATTTCAATTTTCAAATACATGCCTCCACAACAATGTATGACAAGGTATTTTTCACATTTTAGAAGTACAAATGATGATATTTTTTATGTGATATAAAAATTTTGGGTGGCATGTATGTAGAAATTAAGGTATAAGTGCAAGATATGTAAACAAATAGGAATTTGAGTGGAATGCATTAAAATGCTCAAAGAAAATGTTGCAAAAACCTCTAGATGGTAAATCTATAAGGCATAACAGCTCATTTCCACCATAGAAAAATTTAGTATTTTAGTTAAATGTGCCTACTTATGCAAATGCCAATTTATAAGATACAATACCCTGTTTCACGTGAAAAAAAAAGGCATTTACAGCCATACTACACAATTATTATGTATTTAGATATCTAACACCTGAACGTTCAAATTTACATGCAAACCACTCAAATATTTAACATCACATCAAAAATACAGCCATCACTTCCTTTTTATATGTGAAAAACACATTTGCTGCATAGGTTTATGACAAACTTTAGGTGTTAGAAATGTAAATATATAGGAATTGAGTGGTATGTATGTAAATCTTCCAAGAAAAAAAAAAGAAAAAAAAAACAAGGCAAGTGTTCAGCCATTGAGCAGCATCGAAAAACAAGAGGGAGAGAAAATATTAGCTCAAGAAAAATTAGAGGCCTACGCTTATAAAAATAAATAATATGTGATTACACAGAATAAAAATAATTAAAATACAATCCACACTATAAGATCTACAAACAAAACAAGTTAAAATCACATACAATAACATCGAAGAGGAGTAGAAGTACCTCCAGGTTTCCTCTTTTCACGCACAATTGCCTCTTTAATCAAAGGCAACTTCTGCTGCACCTTCCTCCATATATTGTTAACAGCACCATCCAAGGCAACAGGTCCAACGCCACCGGGACTACCATTATCATACTCAAACATGTGTTGAACACTCATCATTTTTCTTCGAAAACCATTCTTTTGATCTTCAGAAAAGCTCCTTAAATAAGAGACGAGCCAACCAGGCTGCACGGCATCATTTACTGAGACGAAAACTGCAAATTCGGAATAATCAACCATTCCTTCAAAGGGGAGCTCGATGTAGTCGCTGACGATGACGGGTATGCAAAGGCTTAATACAGCATCGAAAAGGCGACATGAGGTCGGTGTGTCGCCAGCGGGATGTAAACAAAAGTCGGAGCTTCGCATTCCTTTAATGGACTGTTCGCGGCCAGTGGCATTTGGAAAACCTTCCTCCATTACTACATCATGCTCGTTGAGGAGAACATCCCATAGTTTCTCTCGAATCAATCCACCCTGAGGACGGAAGAATAGAGTTGAGGAGAATTGAGGTGGTGTTTAACTCATAGGATTGTACTTATAACAACGCCATACATTAAAGAAAAGGGGCATACATACATACCACACAATTCTTATGTATTTACATAACCAACACCTCAACTTAAATTTTTACATTCATAACACTTAAAGTTTTTAACATTACATCAAAAATACCATTTTGTTAACCTTTTAATAGTTAAATGCGCATTTGTATGCACAAGTTTATGGCAACGAGGTGCTATAAATGTAAATAAGAAGTTTAAGAGTAATATAAGTAAATCCATAAGAATTGTGTGGCAGGTATGTAAATGTTTCTAAGGAAAAGTTAGAAAAATAATTTCAAAGATGCATGCATTACATTGGGCAATATTAATTACATATGGTAGCAAGCAAAAGTAGAGTGAAAAGGAGTTTTTTCTCATCAAGTACACCTAAATAAATAGGATAAAGATAATGAATAAATGATGATGATTCTTGACTTTAGAAAATGTATTGTCATTTATATACACATTCATTTATGTGATAGATATAACTTACTTATTTCAGGGAGACATGTTACTTTCAACAACTAAAGTAAGCATATTTCAATACCATCTCACAATTATATAAATGATGACAGATACAGCGATGCAATGATTTCATATTCTAATTTTTTTTTTAAGAATGGGCTAGGGTGTGAGCTCCCCAACGCAATATATGGGCTCAACCCTCGCTAGGTCTGGGGGCGACCCAATGTGCAAATAATTCGAGTACCACCTGGCTTAAGGCGGCACTGCGCCACCGGGGGATTTGAACCCGGGACCTTATGGGACTTAGAACCTTCAGAGAGGCTGCTCCACCAACAGGACAAGGAATGCACGCTACATACTCTAATTTAAAGGTGACCAATACGTTCAATCTAAAGTAATCCTTCATTTATAAAGTACTTGAAAAATCGATATGATAACATACTGTGTTATACAAAAAAAATATACCAACCCGGTGCCTGTGTTTGGCTCCTTTGAAATATAGAAGTATGGTACGAGGCCGATCTTCTAGTAACTGCAATCTGGGGAGGAGATGGGTATAAGGCACAATTACATCTTTGATCAATGAAACTTGTGTGTGCTGAATCATATGCGAAGTGTTACCCTGCGATTCCTTGGCAGATTCCTTGGCATCGAGCTTGTACCAGCCACCAAAATCAACCACTAGAAGCATAGCTGGAGCAATCTCTGCTCTAACATGCCACATTGCAACCGGGTCTGTCAAATAATGCTTCAAGTTTTAACATAATCTGGCAATCCAAAGGCTAATCCATAAGCTGATAGATAAATAAAGAGCTAACAAGGAGAACTCAATCAGATCAAATAAAGAAAGCTATCAGGTCTATGAAATTTCTTAATAAAGAGAAAAATACAAATTAATTGAGCAAGAAAAAACATACAAATACCTGTAAGAACAAACACATGATCCCGTCCGCCCGATCTCTTCCACGCATCGGACCTCTTAATTCGATCGACAACATCCCTCTGCCTGCTATAATCCCCATTCCCCTCCTTTTTCAGAAATCCCCCCTTTCTCCCCCACCCCAGCTCCATCTCCGCGCTCAGAGTTGCGAAGAAAGGCACGAATACTACATCTGCATTTCTCCAATCATACACCCGCTCGACCACCGATGAAACCGCCCTCAATCTCACCGGCGTTTCGAGATCGCCGAGTAGCCAGTACTCCGCGTTGTACTGCTTGATCAGCGGGTTCTCCGGATACGGCAGTAGGCCACGGCGGCCAGAGGCCGCAATGGCCGACCGGAGTTCTGCGTCAGGATCGGAGTTGATCCGGGAGTCTGGGGCGGAGAGGGACCAGTATTGATCGAGAAGGCCATAATTGAAGGATCTGGGAAGGTCGGCGACATAGATTTTGAGGCGAGGGTGGATATGGAAGCTAGGGTTATCGAGAGAAGAGGAAAAAGAAAGAGAGCAGGGTTTGCTTCTGGAGAGGAGGATGAGAAGAGTGAGGAGAAAGATGGAGGAGAGAAAGATGAGGAGAGGGATTGGACTCTTCATCGCTTCTTTCTACCTGGATTTGACCTAAATGCTGCCTCCATGGATTCTAGAAGGAGCCGTGAGGAAGGAGAAAGATGGGAGAGGGGGTAGGGACGTGGGACAGGGTTTCAGGCAGGAGTGGGAATGGTAGACGGGATTGTTGTTTTAAATTAAGTTAACTTTATCAATTTAATTTATTAGTAATTAATTTTTAATAAATATATTATCAAATTAATTTTGATTAAATAAATTTATATGTAATTATTTAATAATTATTTGATAAAAAATACATTTTAAAATTTAAAATATAATAGTAAATCAATTTAAAGTAGATTCTTAATTAATATAATTAATGATTGATTCATGTGTCAATAATTATTTAATAAGTAATTAGTTTAATTATTTTTTTAATAATAATAATTTTTTTAATAATAATTATTTAATAAAAAACTCCACATTAACCCATAGATACTTTCAAATATCACCATGATGTTACGTAGCTTGGTATGCATAATGGACAATTACTAAAGTAGGCGTTGAGTGGGTTTGAGGTTTGAGGTTTTGTCCCTAGTAACCATCGGATGAATATTTGCAGGAGTTGGAACAATATGTTGAAGATGGGTAGGTATGTCGATTTGGGCATTTGGGATTGTGGAGTTGGGAAAGAGATTTGGCATGTGAGGTGTAGCTAGGGACGTTTGGTTGGTTTTTGGTTGGATAGTCGATGTAGGTAAAAGAAGGTGGGTATTGTCATGGGGTGGAGGAGGAGGTTTGGGTTGAGTGATTATTGTGTCATAGGGAAATGTATTTTCATAAAACAGTGCTGCGGGAGATTATGATTTTGGAGGTACAAGGGTTAAAGCAGTTAAAACCTTTATGACTTGGACAATATCCAATAAATATGACTGGTGTCGACCCTGGAACAAGTTTGTGGTGGGTTGTTGTTTTCATCCAAGGGTAGCATAAGCATCTGAATACCCTAAGTGCGAATAAGGGTCTGTTGGGGATAATTTTTTGCCTGTGTTGCTTTTCCGACCGTTAATATAATTCTTTCTGAGGAACTGCTTTCTTGCACCTTTTCAGAAATTTATGTGGCTAAAAGCTATTTTTTTCAACCTGAGTTATTAACATGTGGTGGCTGCAAAAATTTGCAACTTGATATTTTGGAAATAAAATAAATTTTTAATAGCAACCACAGCTTTTTGAGAAGCAGTTTCTTCTGCATCAGCTTCACAGCTTCTCGTTCAAACAAATGCAACTGCCCCAAACAAACTCTAAGTTGGTGGGGTTTTATGGATTAGTTCGTATGGTGTCAACCATTTAGAATTTTTACATGACATACGGTTTATGAGATAGTGAGCAAAGATTCAAGCCAAAATGTAAGTGGAGGAGAAGCATCATGTACGAAAGTGCATTTGGTTTCAATCAAATAGCGATGTTTGTATTCTGCAACACCGTTTTGTTAAGGAGTATAGGGGTACGAGAATTGATGCATTATGCTATGTTGGGTGAAGGCTTGTTTGAGTGTGGAGTTATTGTATTCTCCACAACCATCATATCAAACAACTGAATGGCAGTGTTAAATTGGTTTTTAATGAGGTTTGGAAACCCAATGCAAATTTGGGGAAGCTCGAATTTACATTTCATAGGATAAAGCTAACAAAATTTAAAATGATCATCAATAAAAACTGCATAATACCAAAAACTTTGATGTGATAAAATTAGGGATGAACCCCATACATTGGAGTGTATGAGCTATAAAGGTAAATACATGTGTAAAGAACAAGAAGGAAAAGACTATATATGACTCTTGCTACACTTAAAACTATTACATAGTGTTATAGGAAAGGTAATGCCAAGTAATGGTTGAAGCTTCGATATATGGTGGAGATTATATGTATGTGGATGTTCGAGCCTTTTATGCCAAAATATGGAGGTTTGTGAGGAGGTAGCCAATGCTTGATGAGGGACTGAAGTGGTTGATTGCATTGGAGATGGAGTGTTGGAGTATAGTCCTTTGGAACTATGTCCATGAAGTAATATGTGGTGAGTCTGCGGATCAAAGATTAAAAAATCAGCATGATAAAAAAATAATTGATATAATATTGTCATCAACTAATTTATAAACTAATAACATATTGTGAGATAAGGATGGTACATGTTAGATGGAGGGGAGGCGAAGTGAGCGAGTTAGAGTAGGAAGAAAATCATCTCCTGTGTGTTTGACCACAAGTGGTTGCCCATTCTTAATTAGGACTTGTTCGGAACCGTCAACAGGAGTGGCAACTTGGAGATGAGATAGATCGGGTATGGGTGGGCATGGGGTGGGTTGTGACCCTTGAATCTAGAACCAATGAGAATTTCACTTGCAGAGCTTTGTTGGTAAGCACATATTCTAAGTTGGAGCGATGCAAATAGTGGGTGTGACCATACTTTTTGCAAATTTGGCACACAATAGGAGACCTAGATGAGATTTGATCAAGCTTGTATTGATTGGATGGGGGTTGGGTGTTGCAGCCCCTTCCTCAGGATGAATTTTCTTGCCGTCCACTGTACATGTTCAATGTCAGCTGTGGATTGATAGTAGACTAGAGTTTCTTTTGTCTTTGGTTTGGTTTATCTTTTCACTACAAAGTAGATCATAGAAGTCGTCCAACTCAATTGATTGTAGTTGAGTGTGTATGGTTGTTTTGAAGGGTTGATAGTTAACCGAAAGTCCATTCAATATGTAAAGGATGATACCCTCATTGTCTAAGTTGAATCAGTCAGCAGAAATTTTATCCACCAAAGTTTTGATCGTGGATAAGCATTGAGTCATAGATTGGGTATTCATTGATAGATTTTGTGGTTTGTTTTTCAACTAAATTAGACATGCTCGATTGGTCGGAGGCTTTTGGCTAAGATGGTCCATATTTCGATCGTGATGGGTAAATGGAGGACATATGGTAGAATTGCTGGCGACATTATTGAGCAGAAAGTTACAATTAGATTTTGATCTATAAGGATCCAACTCATGTATTGGGAATTAAGTGATGGAATGGCTTCGATGGGATTAAGATCTTTCGGTGGATAGGTATGGTGCCATATAAGAATCCAATCAATCCATTTGCGGTGAAGGTTTTGAGGATTTGAGTTTTCCAAAAAAGATTGTTATCCGCTAAGAGATGATTTTGGGTGACATGATGTAAATTATTTAGGAGAAATTTTAATGTCTGTGGGTAGTGGTTGGTAAGGAGTCCAAGAATGGATTATCATGAGTTTCAAATTGAGGAGTTGTAATCATTGTGGTTGTTTGGAGTTTTTGTTTTTTCAGTGGAACAATAAAAATTTACCAACGAGAGGGTTTATTTGTGTGGAGAGCACTGGCCAGGTCTAACTTTGAACTGAACCTTAATCGGAGCTTGTCGATTTTGCTGAAGAAGACGCCTCTGTTAATGGAGAAGAAGAGGATCAGAGTTGATCGAAGTCAAGAAGAAGAGATGTCAGAAAAATCCTTAAGCAAAGCTCTTATACCATTAGGTAATGTAACTTCAATACAACAATTCACTCCCTTCATCTCATTACTTAAGACTGGGTTAATAGGAACACATTTTTACATAACTACCCTTAAATGGTGGAGAACGCCATAAGATAAAGCTAGTACATGAGAGAATTATATCTTTTAATTACTTCTACCCTGTTAGTATTAAAATCACATCAAAAGATACATGTAAACATGCTTTTTATTTCAAGTTAATATTTATTAACTTTCTAAGTTAGTTAATAAATTGAGTAATTATAAATAATCATAAGAATTAAAGTACTCACTATTCTTACAAATTTTTCTAAGATGAATAGGATTATATTGCAACAATATTATTAAATCATATTCAATACACCAATTCTAAAAAAATAATATTATGAAATCATATTGGGTTTGTTTGAGGGTAGCTGTAGTTTATTAAAAAACTAGCGATAAACTGCTGAAAAATAATGTTTTTTAAAAAACTGTTGCGGCTATTACAATTTTTTTTTTTTTTAGAAAAAGTCAGACTGCAGCTAGAAAACTACCCAGCACATAGCTAGGAACGATATTAAAACGCGGATTTCAGCTTCTTGAAAATGAAATTCTTTTGAAAAAAATTGTCAAAATACAATTTAACCAGACAGATCTGGTTGTGTTTTCAAAACGCACCGCATCAAATATGCTGCCCCAAACGGAAATTAAGAGTCAATTCTTACATGAATTAAATATAAGCATCATTTTATTTGTTAGCATCCACCTGATTTAAATAGAAAAATTTCGATACATTCCACACATTTCTAAAGTATTTACATACCCGACACTTAAAATGTTATATTTACAGTTATAACAATTTGGTGTAAAGACAAGCATGAAAAATATATTGCACTTTTAAAAAAATTAATAATTGTGATATTTTTTATGTAATATCGAAGATTTGAGTGGCATGCACACGAATATTAGTTTAGTTATACATGCATAGAGGTAATAACTAGGCATGGTTGATGCCTTCAATTTGATTATTTTATTAAATTTCCTTTATAACAAATCAAACACAAAATAAAACATGATACATTAGCAAACACAAATTACAAAACAAAGAAAGATAGATGAAGGGTCTGTTTCGGGCAACTGTAGTTTATTGAATAATCTGTTGATAAACTGATTAAAAATAATCTGCTGACAAGCTAGGAGCAGTGACTATTACAAATTTTTATTTTTTTGAAAAATTTAAACCGTTGACAATAAGCTCCCACCACACCTAAATAGGTGCATTATTAAAACGCTGTTTTCTGCATTTTGAAAACGTATAAATTGTCAAAACGCAGTTTACCTAAACAGACCATGTGCGTTTTCAAAACACCACCGCACCAAATAAGCTGCCCCAAACGTACCCTAACAAACACAACACTCAATTCTTATGTTCTTACATAAACACTTAAAACTTCAACTTTTATATATTTGCCACCTTGCCTATGCATGAAAATGTGTATTTTAGTTTTCAAAAAAATAAAAATAGTGATGATCTTCATGTGATATGAAAATTTTAAGTGACATAAATGTAGAAGTAAAGTTCAAGTGCTAGATATGTAAATACATAAAAAGTTTGGTGGCATGTATGCAAATGCCCCTAAAAAAAAAAGGCCATTTACAGAGCACACAATTCTTATATATTTAGCCTAATTTAAAGCCGAAATACACATTGTTATGCATAAATTTAAATCACCAAAGCATTATATATGCAAATATAAAAGTCTAGATATGTAAATACATAAGAATTGGGCGGTATGCATGTAAATGCCCCTTAAAAAAAATGCCATTTACACACAGCACAGAATTCTTATGTATTTAGCCTAAAATTTCATATATATACGCATAGCACTATTATCACTTTTTCAAGCCGAAATACAGATTATCATGCATAGATTTAAATCACCAAAGTGTCATATATGTAAATATAAAAGTATAAGCGTCAGCTGGATATGTAAATACATAAGAAATGAGCGGTATGTATGTAAATGCCCCTAAAAAAAGCTATAACAAAGCTCAGCACATCCACACCAAACCACCATACGATTATATAGATACAAACAGAGTGAGTTCGGTTAACATATCTTAATCCTAAATCCATTATAAAACCGCACTATAATTACAGCAGCCCAAAAACTATAATTAATTTAAAAAAAAAAACATAAAAATACTATAAATAAGTTAATTGCACAGAAAATTGCAATCTTACCAGCTTCCATTGCTGGTCTGTCTTAGTTGCTTCTTAGAACCATAAAGCCTGAAGAGATTGAAGGCAGAGAAGCAGGAAAGGATTATGAGAACTAAGCTCGCTATGAAAGCGCAAAGTAACCCTTCCCCTCCCTGCGTGCAATACTTTCTGTAGAAATTGCAGATCTTCATCCATTGGAGCTCTGGTTGGCCATACTGGCCAAGCACTGCAGATTGCAAAGCTGCTGCTGCTGCTGATAATGTTACATAAGCCATCACCTGCATTGGATTTTAATCATTGTGGATGCAAGGGTAAGAACATGAATATGAAATGTTATTATTATTATTATTATTTTTCGATCTGTGTTCCGGAGCGAACTTGCTTGAAAATTTTCCATACGGAGTCCAGACTCAACTCTGCGTGTGGACTTCAATTAATATGCCGCCACGTGGAGGTTATTGTCTAGTTATTAAAGTGAAACCGTGGAGGTTATTGGGGGTTATTGCGGGAATTAATGCAGGAGATTATTGAAATGGAACCGCAAAGGCTATTAGGGGGTTATTGGAGTGGAACCATAGAGGTTATCGGAGAGTTATTGAGAGGTTATTGAGACGTTATTGAAGTTAATGCCCTAATAACCCCTCAATAACCCCCCAATAACCCTTCTAAATAACATATGCGGTTCTCCTTCAATAACCTACATGGTTCTACTTTAATTTTTTTTAAGTGGGCCCGATATAACGCATGACGGCATATTACTGGAATCCGCACGTACAGCTGCATACGTACTCCGTACGGAAAAATTTGGTTGACCGGAGAAATCAAAGTTAGGCGATGAGATTGAAAAAGAATATAAAAGAGAAATGAAAAAAACCAATGAAGAGAACATCCATTCAAAATTTTATAGATGTTCGCTCAATTTCCTGAATTTGCAACTATTTTGTTATGACTTTAATCCTCATCTACACCATAGGAGCAAAAACAATGAAATGAAAAATTAAATTTTTAAGTGCCATTAGTTAAAATGTCTTCTTCATGAAGCATAAAGCTTACTTTGGTAAACCAGCAGAACAAAGCAAAGAGTTCAGTGTTGTGCCAGTTACTTTCAACACAACATTAATTCATTGGGAAATTAACATACATACCAAACAATCTTATGTATTTACATATCAAAAACCTAAAGTTTGATATCTACATTTATAACATTTTGATGTTATAAACCTACACAAGAAAAAAAAAGTATATCGTTTTTATAAAGTTAGTAATAGTAATATTTTTGATGCGGTGCAAAAATTTGAGTGGTCTGCATGTAAATATCAAAGTTTAGGTGTTAGAAATGTAAATATATAAAAATTGTGTGGTATATATGTAAATGCCCATGACTAATAATTAAAGAGGTGGTAGGTAGGTTCACATTTATAGCTGAGACAGTCCCACATACATTTAAGGTTTTAAATAAATCCACCCAACCATACAAACATGCAATTGGATCAAATCAATCCGTATACAGCCGTTACATTGGCCTTTGTGGCCTTCAGGAATATTTGCCCCAAAGAACATGCAAAAATTTTACTAATTTTCTGAAGCACACTTCCTATTCTTCCACCTAAAAGAGGAACAAATATTACATTAACTCTAATCACAATGCGCCCCGTGTACGGTTCGGTCTCACTAAATAAAAAAAACTAAATAGTTTAATGCATGACAGTATACCGTATGAATGACACATTGTGATTGCATGTAAAATTTTTTTCCTAAAAAAGACAGAAGAGCCCATTTATCTTTGGGAAATTTAAATACATGTCACACAATTCTTATGTATTTAAAGGTCTAACAACTAATATTTGATATTTACATTTATGACGTTTTGGTGTCATAGATTTATGCATTAAAATGATGTACTTTATATTTAAAAAGTAATTAAAAGCGGTGTTTTTTATGTGACAATGAAATTTTGAGTGTTATGTATTAAAAATTAAATAATACTTAATAAATTATGTCAGTACTAATTAAGGGTTTGTTTGGGGCAGCTACAACTTTTTGAAAAAACAGTTGTGAAGCTGCTGCTAAAGAAGAAATTGTTATTCAAAAAGTTGCGAGGACTATTACAATTTTTTTTTTGAAAAAATTTGACCACAACTTTTTAGCAGCTACCGCAGGTAGTGAGTTATGATGAGAAAACACATCTTTTAGCTTCAGCATTTTGAGAATGCAGACAAAAAACAGTTTTACTAAGCAGAAAAAACTGCAGTACGACACCACACTACCGCCGCACCACCGTCCCAAACACACCCTGTCTTATAAATCCATATGGCTAGTAATAATTAAATTTGTTTAAATAATTGGCATCAAACATATAATTAATTGAGCTCAATTAAAACTAAATATAGTTAAATCTCAATGAAAACACTAAAAAATAAGCTCGAACAAGACTCAAAACATTAATCATAATCAAACTCAACTCCAAGCCATATAAAAGGTGGCCAAACATATGCTCCCTTCCACAATAATTTATTGGAAGTACAATAACTATGATGCATCTTGAACTATATCTAATTTGGTGGGTGATCATGAATAAAATGATTCAAAACTTCAAATGTATATTATTCGCATTGTTGTTGGATTGATATTGCTAAAACAATCTTAATTGTTAGGATTTTATATTGCTCATGGCTAGGGGTGCAATTAATTCAAGCTGACTCCTAAGCCAGGTTAGAGTTGACTTAATAAATGACTCGTGAGCTAAACTTAATGAGCTAATAAACCACGACCGCTGGCACGAACTCAATCCATTAGATTGTGAATGGGCTTCTTTAAAAATTGTTAGGAGTAAATAAACATAAAATATAACAGAATACAAAAACATAAATACAAATTTATTTAAAATTTTTAAAACTTCTTTGTCAACCTTGCTTCTCTCAACTTATTATATTTTATTATAATAATTGTTTGATTTAAAACCATCCTTTTCTCTTTAGTATTAAAGGAGCTAACTTGTGAGTTGTCTCGAATGTGTGTAGTTGAGCTCCATCTTCAGCTCGAGCTCAATTAATTAGTCGAACGCAAGTTAGGCATGGTTAGAGCTCAAAGTGCCTCATGAGAGTGATAATTTAATGAATTTATACTATTTCCATTTTGAGAAATTTATACTATCCTCATTAGTACAACCTCGTATCAATTACAACTAAAAAATCCAAATTTATTCTTCAAATGAGTCGCAATCAAGCACTATGAGAGAAAGCTAATCCTCCAATCAAATCTTTATGAGAATTTCCTGAATCTCACAATAAATAACTTCAATTTTCATTCAAATCTCAAGAAATGAACCTAATTATATCCACCATTTTGGTGTCCAATTGTTGATTTAAATACATAATTGCATGCCTATTAACTAATATAGAGATACTTCAAGATTTAAACAGTGAACAACTGGAAAATCAACAAGAAATTAGCATGCAAGAAAGCAAGTAACAACAATCCAACAACAATAAACATTAAGGGGTATTTACATACAAATCACACAATTCTATGTATTTACACATCTAACACAAATACTTCAATTATTTACAACTATACCAAAAAAAATGTTTCATATCATATCAAAAATACCACTATCTTAACTTTTTAAAAAGCGAAACACATCTTTCATGCATAAAAATTGAAGCATAAAAATTGAAGTTTGTGTTAGATATGTAAATACATATGAATTGAGTGGTATAAATCTCCTAAATAATAATATAAAGAACATTTTTTTACATACATACCTCACAGTTCCTATGTATTTACATATCACATAAACTTTACTTTCTTTACATTTATACTGCCCAAATCATTTATATCACATAAAAAATGCCACCATATTCACTTTTAAAACGTGATATGCAACATTCCATGCATATGTAAGATGACATAGGTAAAAATTGAATAAGTTTAGGTGTTAGACATGTAAATACATAAGAAGTAAAGGGTATGTATGCTAATCTTCCTCTTTTTTTTAATTGATTTCTCCTTACCTGATCGCAGGCAAAAATAACCCACGCCAATCCCTTGCTGTAAACGACACTCCCCTTCATCATTCTCACCACGCAGCAAATCCCCTGCAACAAACTATACCCAGCGGCCGCCCCATTCGCCACCACCAAAAACCTGTAAAAACCCTAAAAAGTATAACAACAGTAACCAAAGGTGCGCTGTCGCGATTCGATTATCTCCAAAAACCCTAAAACCCCGACAAATTTGAGATTAATCTGCACAGCATACAATGGACTTACACTAAAACCTTCATATCGGTAAACCTCGCCTTCTTTTCCAACGAGAAGAATCTCTTCACCTGGCTATCACTCCCCACCAGAGCTGCTGCTGCAACTCCCAGCCCCGACACAGCTAGCCGAAGCACTAACTCTCCGACTCTTAGCTTCCGCTCCAATGCCATTGTTTCCCCTTTTGCAGAGTTGTAAATTTGTACTTCACCGGATGTCATTTAGGAGATGAGCAGGGAAGTCCCGCGCGTGCACGTACATGAGAGCTGGATGGTGCATTTAAGAAGCAGCTAGGGTTGTTAATGGAGATGGAGGAGAAGAAGGTGGTGCCCTAATTAATAGCAGGAGGTGCGGAATTTATTTGCGGGCATCGATTGTTCCAGAGCATTAATGCCATAAAGGAATGGAAATTCTGTTGTCTGTGTAAAAAGTCGGAAAAAATTGCCCATATATCTAAAAAAAAATGAAAATTATACCGAGCAACCCAAACATTGTTATTTATAATTTTTTTTATAATAATGTGGAATAGGGGTCAAGCTACTATGACGCTAATTCTACCCAGGTGTGAAGGTAGACGATCAAACACGTCCAAAGATCCCTGAACAGTAATTTGTGAATTGTGTCATCCACGAGGATATCAGTATCCCTAAGGTCAAAGAAATGAAACTCTATCATATAATGATCATGTGAAGCTCCAAAAGATGAGACTTAAACATTTTGTCATGGCAAGCATGCCGATGAAAAAGATGAGAAAATGAAGGTTCAGCTACAAAACTGAAAACACTCCTTACGAAAGGACTTACTCCTCATTTGGGTCAAGGAGTATTCTAACACGCTAGGCACAATAGACAACCTCCAATATAGAAAGATATGTTGAGTCAGTCAGGTTTGAAAAGCTTGGAGGCTTTTTTTTGGGACATGCAAATATAATGTAGTTATCTAACACGATCATAAGTGTAGAAAACCTATTATATGATTTGGATTATGTTCATGCATGCATCCCATTTTAAAAAGAAAAAAAAATAAAAAAACGTACTCTAAGTGACAAATAAAATCGATAGCTAAGCTAGTTGATTGACAACATTGATTAGAAAGTTGATTTAGTGAAAAATGATTCAAAGCTAGCGAGATAGCCCAAAAGATGCCATAACGAAACCCAAAAGATGCCTAAACATGATATAGCCCTTACGACCGAGAGGATGACAAATTGAAGGCCAGCTCCGTCAACAGATGAGAACCAGAGAGAGATTCTGAAGACCAAAAAGACCAGACACCCATGTACTATCCTCCTTTTAAGCAACATTTCCTTAAATTAATATTATTTTTTCTCTTTTATTATAAACATGCCACCTAGTAAGTCGGCTTGAACTCGTAAACTTAAGCTCGAGCTCGAGCTCAATAAATAATCATGCTCCAGCCCAAGCGGAGGGTGGCTCGAACTCAACTCAACTCGTTTACACCCCGAATAAACATTATTTTCAGTAAATAAAATAGGTCACAAGAGCCCATGAATACCCACCTTCATTCTATGTTTGACAAGTATTGTTATTTTCTCCCTCTCCCTCTCCTTAAATACATTATATTATTTGGGTGTGATCCATTGAACAAATTCAGACTCAACATTGAGATAATAAAAAAAATGATAATGATTATTGGATTGATTAAATATTATATAATTTACCTAATTTTGATGAGCACATGATAAGCATGTGTTTGAAACTTCTTTTAGTTTCTACATCAACATCAATGGTGATTTTTTTTTTAGTTTTACTCACTGCAAAATTTTAATTAATTTACTCAAGCCTAATCATTTCATTTGAATTCAACACAATAACTTCACAAATGACATTTAGGGTGCGTTTGTGACAGCTTGTGCGTTTCAAGATAAACAGTTTATACTGAAACGCGGCTCGCGGGTCGACCGTGTGGTTCGACCCGCAACCTACTTTTAGTGTAAAAATAGAACCACGTTTTCGGATAAGCAGACAAAACACCCGAACCAAATAGTACCGCGACGTTTTTAAAAAGACCCCGCACTTCGGGTCTGCCCCAAAAGGGCCCTTAGGATTGGTTTTTGTTTTAATTTCATATCGTCTGTTTTTCTCTAATTATTTGTTTCGGTTTCGGTTTATATACAATTTTGCATTTTTACCCATTCCTCGTGCATGTATTCTTTGTACATGAAACATTTTGAGTTTCATACATATGACATTGTAACGAGTCTATATATATATATATATATATATTTATGATTTCAAAGGACTTGAATGATCTTACTATATCATGAATATATTTACATATGTAACGTCTATATTTTATTTTTTTATATTTATTACGCTCAAATCTTTTATACGACATCAAAAATATCATTATTTTAACTATAAAAAAAATTAAATACACCTTTCAATTCTTAGCTAAAATTGTGTATATATGTAAAAATTGAAAGGTTAGAGAAATGTAAATACATAAGAATAGAGTGGTCTATCTGTAATTCTTCATTTACCAATGATCCCACTCAATTCCTATGCATTTACTTATTTAACACAAAAAATTTCCTTTTTTACAATTATACCTTCAAATCGCTCCTATCACAAATTTAGGGTCTGTTTGGGGCAGCTTTTTGGCAGCTTATGTGTTTTTCACACCGCATCTGTCTAAGTGCGATGACAGCTTTCTGGCATTGATCTGACTTTTCTAAAAAAATAAAAATTTGTAATAGCTACCGCACATAGCTTATCAGTAGCTTATTCAATAAGCTGCAGCTGCCCCAAACAGACCCTTAATCTTTAAAAGGTAAAATACACCTTTTGCATGTACATTAAGAAATTGAAGTTTGTGCTAGATATATAAATACATAAAGTTGAGTGGTATGTATGCAAATTTTCCTGCAAAAAAAAATCAGAATTTATTGTGGTTTGATATGCAATGAAAAACGTGGAAAAATGAATATCATTAAATCACACAGCCAAGGAGAAAATTACATAGAAAACCATATGCTGTAGGTAACACTCATTGTGTGGTTAAAGAACAAAAATAAAATGAAGAAAATCAATGCATCTTCAATGCAATTTTTTGTTCGATTTCTCACTGCAACTGCAGAAGCTAATAGGCCACCAGTCGGTTATAAGAAAATTTACGTGCTTCACAAATTGTACGTCATGAATGTGCGTTGTTGATCCCGAGGAGATCAAACAGTTAAGAAGAAAGAGAGTATGACAAAGGAGGGCTCGCTAGCAGAAGACTAAGGGGGCAACTTATTTGTGTGGGTGGCGTTTTGAAAATACCGCCGAGTTGTTTGTTTTGCGAGTTTGTCGCCCTATTTATGTTACGAAGTTTTCATTTCATGAATAAACGCGGCTGTGGGATCGACCTCGCGGCCCGCGTTCGCTTGCAAGATTTTACCCCGTTGCCATCCCCTCATGTGCTCGATACTCTGTTGGGTTTGCCCAAAACCATGGCCTTTGTGAACGAAACCTTCGCTATACAATCGAAATTAGAGCTAGTTGGGAAGGAAACGACGGGATCGCGACTTACAGAGACCTTCGAAACTCCCATCTTTCTCATCCTTTCTCCCCGCTCCTACCAGCGATTGCTGGGCAAGCTGGGAAGGAAACGAAGAGATCGCGACAGTGGATCGCAGGGCTGTGCGGCTCGGATGTTGGTTCCAAGTTAATGAATCGTTGAATGACAAATTGAAAAGAAACAATGAGAATAAACTTTTGAGAATTTCTTTCTATTATTTGAAGAAGAAAGAATACAGGTCTTTAGAGAGTTTTACATTGTAACATAACAACCAATTTATACTAACCAATGTATAACGTAATAAAAGGAAAAATATACACAATAATCGCAGGCATTAAGTACCATCAATTTGCGCATATTATAAACATTGCGCATATTATAAACTTATATTTATTCCACTAATTGAGTAATCAACTCATGTCCACTATGAAGCCACTAATTGTGTAATCAATTTAATTTACCAATTCAAGATTATCCTCACAATCTCCCTCGTAAGCTTGATTTGGTTCGAAATTGTTTACGCCAAACAGCTCTTGTATTTTTGCGAATTTGACTCTTGTTAGAGCCTTGGTGAGAATATTCGTACACTGCTCTCCAGTGCTTACTAACTTCACGAGGATCTGTCAATTCTTGACACACTCGCGAAAAAAGTGGAATCGGGTGTCAACGTGCTTGCTGCGTCCATGAACCACCGTCTGTAGCAACTGGATTTGCCGCAACTCCTGCGACAAACTTACGAACACCTGCCGCTACTCCTCGTGCGACGAACCTGCGAACTCCGCTTCAACTGCACATGCCACAACTCCTCGTGCGACAAACCTGCGAAGTCCGCTGCAACTGCATCTGCCGCAACTTCTCGTGCGACAAACCTGCGAACTCCGCTACAGCTGCACCTGCCGCAACTCCTCGTGCGGCAAACCTGCGAATTCCGCTGGCCGAGCTCCTTTGTTTGCAAACGCTCCTGTTCACGGTAACAACACGAGCGAACTCCTCTCCTCTGAGAAACTGATGACCCACGCGACAACCACCTTTCATGACCATGAACTCCACCTTGCCAAACGTCTTCCCGCGAGCAATCACGAATCGTTGTGACACCCCCTGCGAACCAGAAGCACGCCCCTGCGAGTTGTCGCTCATCTGTTCTGCAAGAACTATCGCGCCTGTGGAACCGCTCTGCTGCTGAACTGCTTCTGCGGACTGCTTCCCGTCCAAACTGCTCCTGAGAACTGCTTCCCGTTGGACTGAACTCTCTTGAAGGCAGAGCCTCGATAACTGCCGCGAAGCTTCCGCCTGCTGCTGGAACTGAGACCTCTCCGAGGCTTCCTTCTCGTGCGAACCTCCGCACAACTGGCGACTTTGTTCGTAGTGGTAACTGCTAGCACCAAACCGGCGAACTTCTGCAGTGGCGATCTACAAATCACCGCACAAGCTTGGCGAAACTCCTTTGTTCAATTGCCAAATTTGTTGAAGCTGAAAATCACTATTTCCCCTTAATTAAGTATTCTTCTTAATTAAGTTTCCTTGAAAAACCATTTTCCTTTTCCGTGATCGACAACAGAAAGTTCTCCTTAATTAATCATTTCCCTCTCGCAATTGACAGCATAAAAGCTTTCCTTAATTAAGCCCTTCCTTCTCTGCGCCATTAATCTCCTCGATTGACGGGGAATATTCCCTGATTAGGGAGGAATTTTGATTCCTTGCCGAGCTTGCCTTGCTTCCCTTTTTCAGGAGAGAATATTTCTCGATTCCCTTCCAAAGTTGGAGTCTCTTCTCAGCGCTGAATCCTGGGGAGAGCCCTCAGCCGCTCTCCGTCTTCACCTTCCTTAGCGAAAGGAAATTTTTGATCCGCAAAAATTTGAAATGTTTACCATTAAATATTTCCCTTAATTTTGCTTCCCGGAATTGAATTCCCTTAATTAGGCCCTTAATTAAGTATTTGTCTTAATTAAGTTTCCAAGAATTTCTTCTCCAGCAATCTTACCTTAATTAAGCTTCCTTTAATTAAGAATTTGTCTTAATTAACTTTCCGATAAAGACAGTTTTCTTCTCTCAGAATAAAAATTGTCAATCCTACCAGAAATTAATTAGTTTCCATATTAAGGCCTTTCAGGAATTTCCTTTCCTCTGCAGCAAGAACTTCCTAATCGAGAGGGAATATTCCTCCTACTAGGAATCCAAGATTCCCTCTCTTCTTCGCATCTAGCGTCGGACTCTTCCGCAGCGCCTCTCGCGAAGACCGTGCTCCTTTGCTGCAGGCCCTGCTCGAACAACTATCTACTTCGCCCAATCTGCCGTGAACCTCGCCGCGCCACCTCGCCGCCGCGCACAAGCCTGGGACGAACTTCCGTCGCGCACAACCTGGTCCCACGCCGAACTCCGCCCGAACCTCCTTTGTCGCGATTCAAGACGCCCCTTCGCGAGCTTTGCCGGCGAACTGCCGAACTGCTGCCTGCGGCTCAACCCGCAGTTCCCAAACAGAACAAAACATAAATCTTTCTGTTCCTCGCCGGACCTCCTCTCCGCAGCCTCCGGAGATAACTTCCCGCAGGCAGTCCAGAACTTCCCTGAGCTGAATCTACTGCAAACTTTTTTTCGAAATCCTTCGTTCTTCCCGCGAGCCCGTCTGCCTTGCAAATTTCTTCGTAGCAGCAAAAGGAAAAAAAATAGAGGAATGTTTTGCAGCCTCCAGAACATAAATCTTTCGCGCCTCCCGATAAAGGAAATTTGAAAAAATTGCCTTCAAATTCTTCTCCCAGCCAATATTCTCTTTCCAGCAAAAGAAATTTGGAACTTGCCCAAGGCCAAATTCGGAACTTCCTCTTTCTATTCTCCTCAGCTAAGAAATAGAAGATTTCTTTATTCCCTTTTTCCTTCACAAAGGAAATTCGCCTCTTCAGGAGGAAACAAAATATTCCTTAGATGGAAATGAAATATTATTTTATTATTCATTCCTCTGACTGACTGCAGGCAGGGAATATACTCTCATTGCTTGGGAATATTCCTCAATATTCCTCCAGTATTCCTTCTGGGCTTCGGCTTGTGGAGACGGAGAGAAAGGGAAAAAAGGACGGTTCCCGTAACTGCTGCTCCCGCAAACTGAAGCCCTACCCTGCCGTAACCGCCGGCGAACACCTTTCTTCTCAAAGGAGAACTCTCCAACTTCGCACGAATCCGAAGCCAACTCTTTGTTCGCAGAGCCTCAAGAACTGCACACCAACCTCTGCAGATGCCGTGATTCTCCTCTATCACGAACGATTTGAGCGAATGATCTGAGCCCGATCTCCTGCAAACGATACTCTCCTCTGCAAAACCGCGCCTGTTCGCGAAACCTGTGAATCCTCTGTTGTCGTCTGAACCCTTCCTCCTCCCGAGGGTTCCGTATGAGATTTCGCCTCCTCCGAAGCTGCATACGGAAGATCTCCTGTCTCATAATTTCCTCCTCCCGCTCGTCCCTGGTCGAGCGAATCGCTAGTTCGCGATTTTCCTCCTCCCGCGATCCTTCTCTGCTCCTTCGAAGCACCGCGAAATACTGTTTTACGAAAAACGGAAGAACCCTTGGATCGTTCGTTAGCTCCTCTACCGCGAACCGCGAACCGCGAACCTTCTTCCGCATAACCTTGTCGTTTGCAAATATTATCGCGAACCTCATGTTCTGCCGGTCGACGCTTTCCGACAGCAATCTGGTGCGCAGGCTTTCCCCTCTGAAGCCTTCGTGTTAGCTCCCAGCAGCCTTCCGCACCGAGCGTTCGGAGATGGCGTCGTGAGTTGCCTGCTCTTCCTCTCGAACCAGACTCTGATACCAAATGTTGGTTCCAAGTTAATGGATCGCTGAATGACAAATTGAAAAGAAACAATGAGAATAGACTTTCGGGAAATTTTTTTTTATTATTTGAATAAGAAAGAATACAGTCTTTAAAGAGTCTTACATTGTAACATAACAACCAATTTATACTAACAAATGCATAACGTAATAAAAGAAAAAATGTACACAATAATCACAGACATTAAGTGCCATCAATTTGCGTCTATTATAAACCTATATTTATTCCACTAATTGAGTAATCAACTCATGCCCATTATGAATCCACTAATTGTGTAATCAATTCAATTGACCAATTCAAGATTATTCTCACATCAGTTTCACGAGAAGAAGCAGGGAAGTGCGAGGGTCTTCAGCAAATTCGTGCGGCTATCGCAGCGCTAGGTGGGAAGGAAACGACTGGATCACAACAGTGAACCACAGGGATGTGCAGCTCAGTTTTGCGAGAGAAGTAGGGAAGTGTGGGGTATTCAGCGAATTCGTGTGGCTTGGAGAGGACGAAGCGGAAACGAGGGGAGTATTAACAATTCAATTCAATTATTAACCCTTTAACTAATCTCCCAATATTTATAATCACACTTCAATTATAAGATCACAATTTACAAATAAATAAAAAAAATTCATTAAATTTTATGAAATTTCCAATAAAACATTTTAATTAATCATATATAATTATCATACTATATTAGTATTGATACTACTTTTCTCATAAGCATTTGGATCCAAAAATACCTTTAGGATCCTTAATCGAATTAAACCCCCCTTAATATCCACAAGAAGAATATTTTTAAATTGAGAACAAAACTTTTTGTAACTATTTTTAATTGCATACACAACAATATTATGTTTGCACAGAGGCAGAATGATCATTCATCTAGAAACAACTGATTTTCAACTGTTTTTCAAACGCACAAATCAAACAGTCACCCAGCTTATCCGGAGCTTACAAGGATAAACAACTTATTTAGATAAGTTGGATAAGCTGCAGCTGGCCCAAACAGACCCTAGGAAGCTCACCTATTCGATCGGATGCAGCCATCTGAGGCTCTAAGCTAGAGCAAACAAGTTCAAAGCCGATCGAATCACAAAAGCGACTGAATTTAAGCCGTTTAGTTAGAAATAAGACAAAGATATTCAAGCCAACCACTACAAAAAAGTTGACCGAAGGCAACAACCTACCTTGCGATAGATCTGATCCGGGAAAGATCAAATTCCTCAGTATCACCCACCATCCATGGAAGGCCCCAGGACTCCTCATTAGGGATCAAGAATTAACAGATGAAACAAAGAGTCTTATAAACTTCTCTCAAGCTCTCCTCGTTGAGAAAGGAGCTATCTTTCCAATTAAGATGATTCTCCATCTGCTCAATATTCTTGCGTCGCTCCACTGATAGAAGCTCCTCACCAAGGACTGAGGGTCAATAGCCAGACTGGATCAACCGAACGATAAAACCTATCCAATCAAATCAATTCTGCCCACCTAAAAACAACCAAGCCCAAACGACTGACAATGCCGACTCAGATTAGCAGACCAGATTGACCTTACCGAGCCGAAGCCAAACAAACTTATCTAACTGAACTAGAGAGCAACTGAGTGATAGAATTATACCTGCAAAACATGTAGAATAACTTGTACAACCACATTAAAGTAGGGTAAAAAATACATCACCATATGGTACTCTTTCTCTCTTATAAAAAGAAAGATTGCTTCATGCACAAAAGGGACTTAATTTTAGTTAAAAATGTCGAGAAAAATCAACACAATTGATATAATTTACTATACCTTACTATTCGCGCGCGCGCACACACACGCGTGTACTCTCTCTCTCTATCTTATGTATATTTTATGTGATTAAGGATAAATTTGCCAGTGATTTAGTTGTTTTTTTATTACATATTCCCACACGCTTTTGTGCTTATGAAACGTATCTCTTATGCAAGTTCAGGAGGCCAATCTACCAAAATTAACAGGATTGAGTGATGTGCTCCCAAGTTTGCAGATATGAAAGTTCTGGGTCATAGAAATGTAAAAAATAAAGTTTAAAAAATAAAGTTTAGGCCATTAGATATGTAAATACATATGAATTGGGTGGCATGTGAGTAAACGACCCTAAAATGACATATATAACTTTATAAGGAAATTCACAGAAGTAGACTAATCTCCTCTAATATAGAAACATAAACAGCCATATAACCAAACAGAATAACATTCTCCTATAAGTATAAACTTCATTAAAGACAATAAACGTGGTTCCAAAAGCCACCAATGAAACTACCACAAAAATATAGAACTTCTTAACATTTCATACCTCTACAGCAAGGCTTACTTCGGCGCAGAGCTATGCCTGCGATGGTTTTTAAGCTTCGTCCTTCGGCGAAACACTGTATACATTCTTCAGCAAGTCCTGGATTTTGCTCAGCATCTGGACGGAGTCGCCCCCGCCACCGCAGCCACTGCCGCCGCCAGGTGGAGATTGCTGGCTCTCCTGAAGCTTTATCTTCTCGAACAGATACTGCTTCTCGGCCTCGGCTTCGTCCAGTCGTCGCTTCAGGTACATGCTCGCATAGTCCTGTTCAGCCTTCTCAGACTTAGCAAGAGCGATGCTCTGAAGTCTCTCGGCTTCCTGCCTAGCCTTGGTGGCTCTGAGCTGGAACATATCGGCCTCGGCCTGCTTGAGCCTCACTATGCTTTCGAGCTCATCGACCTGCTGTTTCTTTCGCTGTTTCTCCATTTTGAGCTCTGCGACTTCCCTGGCTTTATCGTCGAGCTCGCGGTCACAAGCCTCGACGGCAAGTCGAGCTCTTTTGAGCATACGAAGCTTCTCCTCGGCGACCATCTCCATCTTCTTCACGGCTTCTTGGACGACATCTGCTATCCGGTTGCAGGCTTCTTTTGGAGAGATGGAGCGACTAGAGTCGTCTTCATAGTTCTTCGGGGATTCTATCTCAAGCTCTGTAAGGAGGATAAATCAAACTAACTCGGAGAAATCAACCTTTAAACCTTAAAACAAACCAACTCTATGAAAATCAAAACAATAGAGTACACATCATGTGCAAATAAGCAATACCATGAAAAGATTGCCCAAAAAATACATGAAATAAAAGATTATAAAATAAAATAATATTTACATGCATACTACTCAATTCCACTGTGTTTACATATCTGACATCTATGCTTTAATTTCTACACAAGCCACCTTATTTATGCATGAAAATATGTATTTCACATTTTAAAAGTTAACACGAGGTATTTTTTATATGAAATGAAAGATTTTAGTGGGTTATTAATGTAAAAAAAGTGAAGTTAAGGTGTTATATATCTAAATAAATAGGGATCGGATGGTATGTATGTAAATGCCCCGAAATAAAACAAAACTACAAAAGAATAAATTTGTTCAAGCCAATTTTTGGAATGGTGTCGTTGAGTGTAAACACAGATTTTTATCAAATATTCCTAGTTTGGGCAAATTCACCTACAATAAATTTAACATCTTAGTATTTATGAAGCAAATTATGGCATAAATTAATGTTATGAACGATGTAATCCATATATTCTCATAAACAGGTTTATCACACCAATGCAATAGACATTACTATAATCTACAATCAATACAAGACGCAATCTCGTCGTCTCAAATAGCTTCAACAACAAGCTATGTATATTTGTATGGTAAAGACTTGGATGCGGATTGATGAAGAGATCGAACAAAACAAGAATAAAAAAAAATGGAAAGAGAGAATAATCTAAAGAATTGCTAGAAAGTTCTTCAAATAAAATTACATAAACAAATTGAAAAATAGATGAAGGCTAAAAATGTCTTGCAATTTCTAATTTATAAGCATTAATTACAAAGCTAGGCAAAATTTTAAATGGTCCTCCCTTGTTTTACATTAATATCCATATCTTTCTTGTATTTAATTTCTTAAAACTTCCAAGAGAAAATCATCATGAATTTGAAGGTACTATTGCTTTATCACCCTTATTTAATTCCATATAACTGATGCTCAAATTAGCAAATAGCTTAAAAAGTGGTGCAAATTATTGGGCAAATGCAATAAATTACGCTCAATAACAAGCAAAACATAAACTATTTGCTTTTTAGGCCAAAACCTAGATAGTTTCAATGGATTCATGCCTATAAACATATTGATAGATGAATTTTATGTAAGCTAACTCAACCGTAAGCAATTTCAAATCAAAATTAAATGCATGGACATTTATCAAACAATACAATGAATCACCCAAACTCCTAATAACTACCATAGTTTGCCCATTCCATCAATTTGTGGATGATAAATAGTTGAAAATTATAATCATTCCCATCATTTGCCCCTTAAAAAATTTCATGAATTTACATCCTTGTCGGCAATAATTAACATAAAAAATACATTCAATTTAACCATATCATTAAAATATAGTTTAATAATGAGACATGTAACATAAGTTTTATGATATAAAATGTAATAAGCAATTTTAGAGAAACAATTAACCACTGAAAAAAAAAAGAACATGCTTCCTCCGAGTTTATGTTAATCCTAATACAAAATTCATGATCACATCATCTCAAGTCTTACATGGATAAGCAAAGATGCATAAAGTCTTATATTATGTCTTCCGCTAGGTAGTTTAATAAATCCTAACCGAAAACACTTTTCCAATTAGGTAAACAATATCTATTCCGAATTATTACTATAATCTTATCTCTCCCAAAATTTACAGCAACACCACCACTATGTAATCCTAAAATAAAGAAAAAATCCCTCAAAAATGAATCAAGATTGCAAAGATAGTACTCTTACATAAATATGAATACATAAAATGTTCGTTAAGCACACAAATGAATTGCTATCTCAGTAATGTTCATACATACATAATCCCATCTTATATGATAAAAGTTATCATCTTAACCTGCAATCTAAGTAAAATAAAAATCATCAATAGAATAATATTTCAATGTTTAAAGATTAGAATAAAGAGAAAACTCTTTCGAAGACAAATAATGAGTTCAATAAGAGAGAACTTGCTCAACAGCATAAATTCTTTATCGTAATTGAAATATTTATGTTTAGCCTCATTCAACCTCACACTTAAGAAAATAACTGTACCTCTCTTTTGGCTTAACACTCCACTAATACTCGCACAAAAGCATCACAATGAACCTCAAAATACTTTACTAAATCAAATAATTTCGACACATGTGCATTTTAAGCTTCTCTTTGTTTTAATAAGAGCATAATCAATAAAATTAGCCATAAAATTTTAAGCTTCTCAACAGCATAATTGGAATCATTACAGAGCCACGCCTTCAAAACAATTATCCATAAAAAGTGATTATATCATGAAAACTCCTAATGTTATTAATATTAAAAGTATTGACTCATATTTAGGGCCCGTTTAGGGAGGCTTATTTGGTGAGTTTGCATTTTGAAAACGCGGCTCGAGGTGTTTGCTTTGTGTGTTTTGGCCACTTATCCAAAAATGTTGTTTGTGTTTTAAAATATACGCGGCCGCGAACTCAACCCACGGCCCACGTTCTTACCTATGATAGTACGCACTTGCCCTTTGTTCCTTGCTCGACCTCCGTTCTGCCCTATGTATCTCCTCGCTCACCTTTGTCCCTCGAACGCACCTATCTCACGATTAGCAGTGCCTTTCACTTCTTCCTCCTCCCTCAGACCTGGTTACTGTGTTGTGTAAGTAATTTCGATGGAATGCCCTCATATATGCAATTTGTGCAGTTTTATCGATGGAATAGTATCTCTATGCAGTTTTCCGATGAAATGACTTTCTTTACGGGATTTTTTGATTTTTGGATAATTTGGAGAATGAGTGAAAGTGAATTGGGGTGAATGGGGTTGGCGAAAATGAAATTTGGCTTGCTTATTGCGGTTTCTGGTCTTTGGCTTGCTTATTGATTATTGTGGTTTGTGGCGTCTAGAAGAAATGGAATGGAACTTCCTATAAATGTGTTGGTTCAATGGTTTTCTCTTTTTTGTTTATAGTTGTTTGCTCCATTTGGTTTTTGGTTCAAATGGATTGGAATTTCCTTTTTGTCGTGATGATTGGAGATTGCGTTGCTCATTTCATTGCACGGTCTGTCGGTCTTTCCATTTTCTGTTGTAGGTTGCTCTGTTGCATTTGTTGGTCTATAGTCTGTTGGTCTTTGATCTTTGTGGGTTGCCCAATGGAAGGTTCGTCTTGAGGGGTTGTCTTACTAGGTTGCCCTGTTGCATTTGATGCTCCATTTTCTGTTGTGGGTTGCCCTACTACATTTGTTGTTCTATGGTCTATTGGTTTTTGATCTTTGTGGGTAGCCCTATGGAAGGTTGGACATGGTGGGTTGCCTTATTGAGTTTGTTGTTCTATAGTCTATTGGTCCTGGTGGGTTGCCTTATTGAGTTTGTTGTTCTATAGTCTATTGGTCCTGGTGGGTGGTGGTGGCTTGCTCGTGTGGTGGTGGTGGCTTGCTCGTATGGTGGTGGAGGTGTTGGATGGTGACTGTGAGAGTTTGTGGTAGTGTTGTTGTGGTGGTGTTGGTATGTATGATGGGAGTGATGGTGGTGGTGGCTTGTTAGTGTGGTGGTAGTGGCTTGTAGTGTGGTGGCGGTGGTTTGTTGGTGTGGTGGTGGGGGTTTGCATCTTATTTTTATCATACTTTTAATTGTACTTTTAATAGTTTTTTTTCTTTTTTTGAGCAATCTTGGTACTCATTGTTAAGTGATATGTGTATCTTATTTTTTGTACTGTCTGAAGTGATTTTTTGCTTCTCAAGTATCAATATATTGTTATGATGGTTCTGTTGCAAACAACATTATTGCACAAGAGCAAAATTATCATTTATTTAAAAACAACTGCAAAATAGTTGTTTTCAACAACACAAACCAAATAGCTAACCAACCTATCCGGTAAAGTTGCTACTCAGCAGCTTATATAGATCAACTGCTTATCATTGCAGCTTATTAATAAGCTGCAGCTGCCCCAAACAGACCCTTAGTTTTAAAATTTATTTAAATAACCATGCAGCATTTCCTCAAAAGGTTTAGCCCATAACAAAACTTACAGTAATGAAACAATGGCTCATAATTCCAAAAGCCACATGAGACTCACTGAAAATGCATAATAATGAAATATGTAGTAAAGGACCCGAGCGACACTAATAATCACATGATTCATAATTACAATTCTGAAGTCAAATCATAAGACCAAAATCCACAAACCTATAAAAATAACAAATCTCGTGACTCAAAATTACAATTAAGAAGTTAAATAACGAGACCAAAATCCATAAAAAATTGAATTAGTAAGCCTTAATCTTTGAACAAATCCCGATCAAACCAATAAAAAATCATGTAAGACCTCAAACCAATATAAATCCAAGAAATTAAATAATAGATAAATATTTTATTCTCATAAGTGTATCATCACAAGCATGTTCAAAAATACCAATAATTAGAAAAATACAAAATAAAATAAAACTACTAAAAATTAAATTTGCTTAAGTCAATTTTATCGAGGTCTCCACTTTGCCAAGTTTAAACACATTTTTCCATTAAATATGCCAATCTAAAATAAAAGACAACTACAAAAAATTAAGCATTTCACATTCAATAAGAAAATTAGGGTATATATTTTGTCCTATTTGCAAATTAATCTATGAGTAATCATGAATAGATCTATTACATTAAAGCACAAAATATCAACAAATCTATTATTGATACCGGGCCACATAAGTAGATAGATTTGTTTGACAAAAGCATTGAATACAAATCCATCAGTGGATGAAAAAAAATCAGAGTTGAAAGTAATTTAATGAAAATTAGATCAAATTAGCAAAATTAAAAATTGGCTTAGTACCATAACTTATAAATTTTAATTTACGCTACATAATTTTAAATATCCTAATTTTTTTGCATTTACTTTCTTCACGGTTTTTTAAGGCATTATGAATTCAA